GTCCAAGCACCAATAAAATGCACCCAGAGGTATTTTTACTAGGGATGCTCCAATCAGGTTTTATCCTGCCAATTCCGATACCGATCACCTATGAGTGTTGATCACTGCAGATCACCGATACTGATCACCTATGAGTGTTGATCACTGCAGATCACCGATACCGATCACCTATGAGTGTTGATCACTGCAGATCACCGATACTGATCACCTATGAGTGTTGATCACTGCAGATCACCGATACTGATCACCTATGAGTGTTGATCACTGCAGATCACCGATACTGATCACCTATGAGTGTTGATCACTGCAGATCACCGATACCGATCAGGATTGACAGTCACCCTCGTACGGACGARTGTTGGCATGTGTGGGCTGCGTTAACTGCCGTCTGACTGTTGCTGCTCCACGTCTTTTCATTCTCTGCCATGAGCATTGAAAACTTACCATATTCTGCCAAGTGCTTGTTCTTTAAACGCTGTATTAAGTCTGTTGTGTTGAAGGATTTTACCGTAATTTCTCCACGAGATATTTTTTCGTTCACTGCGCAGGCGTGGGAGGCTGAGCACAGGGTGAAAGGGGGAGGAGGACACTACACTGAAGGCAGCTACGCACAGCCTCGGTCAGATTAGTCCGTTTTTCTGATCGGCAATGGCAGGCATTTATCGAAAACGTTGATCATATATTTTTTCACAAAAATCGACTGATATTGATTGGTGGCAATTAGTGCTAACACAACTATTTTTTACTATAAGTACATGTATACTTTTGTGTTTGAAACGACCTGGTTTCAAACACCAACAGTTTGGGACGCCACAAATCGTACACCAACCCCCCCAATCTGCTTCACAGGACGAAAGTTTGTTCTGCTACTACAGAGGAGGCGCACTTCGCCTCTCCCCCTCTGCCTGGGGAAGCACATTTGCCTCTTCGGGCACCAGTCTGTCGCTCTCCCCTGGGGTGGCTGCCAGAGATGTCAAAAGTATTCACATTCATTACGTAAGTAGAAGTATGGATACTAGGGTTTAAAATACTTTTTTTGGAAGTAGAAGTATCAACTCAAGCRTTTTACTCAAGTAAAAGTATAAAAGTACTGGTTGTAAAACTACTTAAAGTATAAAAGTACAGGTAATGGACACTTAAAAATAAGTCATTAAGAATAAAAGCCTAGGCTGTGCCACAGGGTTCTATAGCATATACCCCCCTTCAAATTCACTTCTAAAGTCAAAAATGAGTGTAATGTTAAATGAAAATATTAATGTTGAAAATTTTGGAATTAACTAACTAGACTAGTTGTTTCAGCCACGATCGTCTTCATTCTAGGCTCCATCGGCAACAGTGCCCTGCTGGAATGTGATGTGATTTGTGTCATACAGGTGTGATGGAGTGCGTTCAATCCAATTGGATGTCAGGATGGTATATATTTACACTTCTCATCCTTGATAGAGACGAATGTTGGTTTGAGAGAGGAGTAAAGGAAGCCATCTTTGCGAAAAAAAAACCATCCACCATTAAACAGAGGTGGAGGCCTGCGTGTTCRTTTGTCCTCCTCCTACAACGCTGTTATTGCAAGTATGACTCCGCCCCCTGTGAGCAAAAGGTGTGAATCAGGGCCCCAATGATACCAACACAAAGAGGGAAAAAAACAAAAACAAGGGGACKTTGAGCCCTGCCTGCATTCACTACATACACATGACACGACACCTAAGAACCACAGCATCCAAACCAATAAGTCAGGTGATGGGACACATGACCCTCTATGAACAATAGAGCTAATCAAGCCTATTGTTAAGCGATGGCCCTCTTTTGCATGTAACTGACCTGTTTGTCCACCATGTGGAGGCAGTGCTTACGTATAAGGCTGAGTTCACCTGAAACTCATCAGACTGAAGAAGTCACTTGGATGAGAGACAAAACGTTTCACTAAAGAAGAACCCATCCAGAGGACCTACTTTTTTTTTTTTTGATTAACTTCTCATCCAACCACAATCAAATTCACTCTGTCCAAGGGCTCCGTGTATCTGGATAGATTTGTATTTATTTATTTATTTATTTATTTATTTATTTATTTATTTATGAACAATGAAAAGATGGAATAGAAACAAGTCAAGGTTAAATAGAAATTAAATACTTTTTGCATTTTTAAAAAGTAAGGAGTAGAAGTAAAAAGTAGGCTGAAAATTAATTGCTCCACTAAAGTATAAATAACCAAAATTTCTACTTAAATAAAGTAACAAAGTATTTGTACTTAGTTACTTGACACCTCTGGTGGTCGCACAGCGCGGGGCGCTTCATCGTGAACCATACGGCTGCGTGCAGAGCGGCCACTCCAGGGCTCGGGAGGGAAAGACTGGAGCCTCTGACCCAAGTCAGGCTCCTTGGTGCTGGGGAGGCCAGCGAGCATCGCAGCCTTGAGGCTTCCATGTCACCAGCGCTGTGGCGCGGGAGTCTCCAGACTGCTAGTCGCTAACATGAATGCCATGTTGGGAGAGCGAAGTAAATGTAAACAAAAGGTTGGGAGGGGGTTTCCATAGCCTTATGCATAACAGCATGTTGTGAAGAGAGCTAAAGAACAGGAAGAACTGAAATGGTRAAATTTCATTATCTGAGATTCATTTTGTGATTTAAATCAAATGAACACGTTTTGTGTAGCCCACAGATGGATCCTAACTTGTTGTAGTACTCCCATAATAGGTCACCTTTAAGACAGAAAYCAGCTGAACTCATTGATTTGTAGATGAAACTAAATAACAAATTCATTCTGACAAAAAAATCACTTTAAAGGAAATTGTTGACATTTTTTGTACTTTTTATATGTTAAGAAGAAAGAAAGAGACAAAGGCACAAGTAGGTTTTATCCTTTTTGACTTTGTTTTAAACTAAACTTTGAGCTAAACTGAGGCAGCACAAGCATGAACAGTTGGTCTGTACATTTTTTCCCTGTCTGTTGACCAACAGGACAGGAGGTGACCCAAGAAGCACCGATAAAATAAAACAAATGCCTGTTCAAGTAAAGGGAAAAACTGTATTTTAAAAACAGTCAAACTGAATTTAGGTGATTAAAAATTGTAGAAAATTGACATTAAACCTAGATTTTGTCAGTGTTCACAGAAGGAACTTCTTATATTTCTCACACTCATAACAGAAATGATTAACCTGACTAACAGCACAGACTGAACTACATGTTTTGCTATTTGTCTCATTCAGTCCCAGATGGTTTATTCARAACTCACATTTAACTTTTAAACACTAATATAATTTATTTCTACATCAATTTTCTTCGAATCTAGAAGGTGCCACAAGCGAGGGACCAAAGAGCCACATATTGGAGTTCCCTGAGTTCAACTAAACATCAGGAGAACAAAGAGGAATCAGCAGATTAAAAAGAGGTAAAATAAACTGACTTGTTGGACGGGGCCCTCAGTGGACAGGGACAACTGGAGCAGGACACCGCCTGTCCATCCAGGCTGTTGTTACTATGGAAACCACCCTTACATCCCTCACAGTGGTTGCCGATGGTGTCATGCAGGCAGTTCTGATGCACGAACAGACAAACAGAATATGTTGCATGTTGTTTTAAAGAGTACAAATGTTGAGATTTCTGATAAAAGACTCTCACCACACAGATTCCAGACCCATCCAGGCACTGGTCCGAGTGTCCGTTACAGCTACAGGGAACACACTTTCCCAGAAACAGCCCAATGGTGTCTCTGTAGAAACCTGGAGCACATGTCTGCACACAAACAGGAAGTAAACCACAAATAATACAACATGATGATGAAATGTTTTATTGTGTTTCCATCAAAGTCTCCACTAACAAGATAAATATCTATTAATTAAAGATGGTGTCATTCTGAACATGTCTCATTGTCAGCTAACATACGAACATCCACATAGATATTAATATTATGAATTTAACATTAAATATAATCAATGACTTCTGAGTCAGTTAAGCAAGAATATCTGGCTGCTCTAAAACGGCTGAAAGGAAAAAATGTTCAGCAAAGTGAAACAAATTTAAATCCTGAGAGCACAGGTAATTAGCATCAGCCAACGAGCTAAGCTAATACGGCAAAGCTCTATGCAGCAAACACAGAGGAAGAAATGTGAAGAGTTGAAGAGACGCTTCAGACTGGGCTATTATTTACCCTGTGGGCTCAGATGGTCCAAAAAAAAAAAAAAAGACAAAATTCAGTTCAATTCAATTCTAAAATACTTTGTTGATTCAACAGGGAAATTTGATTTCCCTTAAAAAAACACTTAGACAGAGCCTACCACATGGATCATCCCATTGTTCCCCAAATCACTTTGTTTACAGATACAATGTCAGCACTGTAATTTTACATCATTTCATTCTTTTTAAACAACATTAGAAGGGGGAACCACACATCTTTCATAGCTGTCATTACTGACTCTGGGAGAAGGGAGAACATAGTTTCTACACAACATGGGCTGTGTCCAAAACAACAGGCCGGCTCCTCCGGAGGACCCAGACTATCCGGTGGAGGTGGGCTATATATATATACACTCACCGGCCACTTTATTAGGTACACCTGTCCAACTGCTCGTTAACACTTAATTTCTAATCAGCCAATCACATGGCGGCAGCTCAGTGCATTTTGGCATGTAGACATGGTCAAGACAATCTCCTGCAGTTCAAACCGAGCATCAGTATGGGGAAGAAAGGTGA